TATAACATTTTAGTGCATATATGAAATATATAACATATAGTGCCTATATACCATTTTAGTACCTATACGTCTCATGAAAAATAGATAAACTGGGGTTTGAAAGTAACTAAAATATCATTAGGTTTTATTTACTTTTTAAAAAAGATTACCAATTTTGATGCTTGATTACAGTCTGGGTCCTGTATATATACCTTATATATTAGTGAAAAAGATTTTCTTTTAAAGTATAATTACATGGATCTAAAATAAATTTTTTTTTATAGATGTTTCATAATCACAATCTTTTATCGTAAAAACTTTAAGAAAAGAATGATGCTCTAATATGTTTTGAAAACATATTAGAGCATTATTAATGTTGCTATCAATTATCAAATAAAAAAACAACTTATCAATTATTAAATTCATAAATGACTTTCTGTACAACATTTTTTTTAATTTTTAAAAAAGTTCATAAATTATCTTTTTTATGCTAATTGACTGTGCTGATTTTGTGCCTGAAATCAATTTATGTCCATCACATTTTTGAAAAATCGTGATTTCATGTATGGCACGTCAAAGACTGTACCCAACAGGCATTTGTTTTTAAAAGTTACATCCCAAGTGTGTTTTAAACATTTTTTAAACAAAATCAAAGGGTTCTTAACTTTATAGTGTTTAGAAAATCTTCAGAAAAAAATGGGCATTTGTTTAGAAGAAAACAAATGCCCGTGGGTTGTATGATTCTGTGTATTCACATCAATCAATTCACTTAAAAGGATCCCAAACTCCCAACACATGTTGTGTTCATATTAAGAAAATGTTAAAAATAAAGGTTTGAACCAAGTTTTTTTTGATTAAAAATAAATAATGAATGCATACCAAGAAAAACTAATCTTGTTGTTTTAGCCGAAGCTTGTTTTCTCCATTTTACACAAATACTTGGAGTCTTTAAATTATACGTCGCAATCTACAGAATTTGTTTTCCCATTGAAAAAAAGTATTTATTAACAATTACTTTCATTAACTGACACTATTAATTAGAGATATTTGATAAACTGTTAAATTTTTTTTATTATAAAATTTTTTTGATTTGGCTGATTTAATTTAAAAAATTAATTTAAAAAAGGAAATACCATTAAATTTTGAATTTGATTTTTGATAAAGAAACTTTTAAAATGTTTGCAACTCTATACCAATTAAAACCTGTTGAGGTTATGAAAAAAAAGTACAAGAATACACTAAACAATACAGTTGACAGTAGTATCAGATATGAAAATTCGTGAAAGGATATGTGAGATCCTGGTTTTGCATTACAAATACAACCAATAACAGCACTAGTCGGCATTATAAATTTTGATTAAAAGTTTACTGTTCAATATTTTATAACCATCAAATAAAAAACACGAAGTATGTATATTTTTGTTCTTTTAATACAATTAACATTTAACAAAAATACAGACAAGTTATTATTAATTAACGCGATAATTAACACATTAACACATTAATTAATGGCAATAATTCAAGATAGATGGTCACTTAAATAGTCAAAATGTCATAATGCGTGTTAAAAAACATATTATATTTGGTATTTCCCAATTTATGTGTCGTATTTGGCATTTGTCTCTTAACATAGAAAATTAAAAACCTTACAAAATTGACAAATATATGTTCTCAAACAATTTTCTTTTCTAATTCCCATTCCCATTTATTCAAAGAAAGGTTACAATTTAACTTTTATTTCTGTCACCTAAAAAAAGAACGAGTGAAGCAAAAAAAAAAATTCTATACAACTCTTATTCATTCAAAGTTTAATTATGGGAAACTTTTTTTTCTCTTTTGTTCTACTATTCTAAAAAAAAAAAAATAATGCTCATAAAAAGAGCACGCAATAAAATAAAAACTTTTCTTTCATAGAATTAAACTTAAAGATAAAATTAAATTAAAAATAAATCAACAATGAACAATTAATTAACAGTCCAATCTGGGACTATTTTGATATTGATGAAAATTATCAACATAAACATAAACAACAACAATAATCAACTAAACAACACAATATTGTATAATTTTAGGGGCTTTTTATTTATTGCTTAGTCCTTTTAAATAATAAGTAAATTTAGCTCAAGTTAATATTTTAATATTTACAGTTGCAATATAATAAAAAAATGGTGTTTTATGTTAAATTTTTTATTTAGTTATTTATTTTTTACCTACATTTGTTATAAAAAAGACTTTAGTTCCACCGTCATTAAAATCATTTGTTTTAAATATATTTTGACATGATTATTTAAACTTTTTAATGTTTTTTCATTTGACCTCCCAAACTTCATTCAAAGCAAATTCAGATGAAATATTGTCTAACCAATTAAAAATGCTGTTACTAATTTTATATAGGTAATTACTAATAACAATTTTGTATCAGAATCTTGATTGAGACAATAAATATTCATCATTTATTAACATTAAATATAGTGCAACAACAATTTATAGCAACGAACCAGCATCAAATATTTAAGGTTTTTAATAACTTTTTAAATGTTAAAAGTAGAAAATAAATAACTAAAGAAATAATGAAAAAATTTATGAATAAAATTAAATCAAAATTTTGCCAGAATTTCTTTTGTCTAAAGTCTACCATGACGTCAAATACTAAAACTTTTATGAATTAATCGCGCTTCAAAAGTGTGCAACCGTGACGCAGTGGTTAGAGCGCTTGCTTTATAAATAGGAGATCCATGTTCGAAACAAACTCTGGACAAATTTTCTTGTCACGGTAAGGAAGGAGGCATGAACTTCCTGTTTAAATGCACTTCCACGGTGCTCTGTGACAAGACTGTTAGGTCTTCTTGGGGCACCTAAATAACAAAAAAAAAAAAAGAGTTGCTAAAGTCTGTAGATTGCAATGTATAATTTAAAGACTCAGAGTTTTTGGACTGAAAATGGAGAAGGCGAGCTTCGGCTAAAACAACAAGATTAGTTTTTTTTGGGTATGTATTCATTATTTATTTTTAACCAAAAAAACCTGGTTCAAACCATTTTTTTTAACATTAAACATTCTTTAATATGAACACAAGATGTGTTGGGAGTTTGGGATACCTTTAACTACACATTGCTTATTGTTCTTTTTCTTTTGGATAGTTGAACTTTGCTATCTCATCATTATTGTTGTGCATTATTATGGTTTCTAGAAGCTGTGTGAATCCTGATAGCTTTTCATGAAAGTTTCCTTAAATTTGATCTTGCACAGTGTTTTCTTTAAATTTGATCTTGCACAGTGTTTTCTTTAAATTTGATCTTGCACAATGTTTTTTTAAAATTTGATCTTGCACAGTGTTTTCTTTAAATTTGATCTTGCGCAGTGTTTTCTTTAAATTTGATCTTGCACAGTGTTTTCTTTAAATTTTATCTTGCAGTGTTACAAAAAAAATGACTTTATCAAACTTTATTAATGTTGTTTTTTTGTAAATAAAATTTATTTAAAACCATTTAAAAAAATTTACATTTAAAACTAGGGGTGTCCCAGATAGCATTTTTTAATTATCTGGCCGGATATCGGATACCCAAATATTTAACAATTACCAAATATAACAATTACCAAATCACAAAAACAATACGGATAATGTAAGGTAAATATTACATTAAGACAAAAGTTACCGTAATAACCCTTCAAAATGGCGAGTTTTATTTGGAAACTTTTTAAAATTAGTGATAACTATGATTCTATAGCTATTTGCATTCCATGTGGAAAGTAGATAAGCATGGGATGTAGTAGATCTGGTCAGCAGTCAAAAATCAAAGAAATATAACTGGACTTTTATCCAGCTTTACCACCATTTTAACCAGCTTTACCACCATTATCTCTAATCATTTAACGCCAAAATCCAAAAAAAAAAAAAAAAAAAGAAGAGAATGACTTTAACTCCTGCTTTTTTGAACTTGCAGAATATGAAGGAAATTTAGGTAAGATAATCTCTTTCTGTTTATTAAAAAAGTTTTAAATAATTTTAAAAACTTTTTTGATAAACAGAAAAACTTTTTTTGAAGTTTTTTTTTTTTAAATAACAGCTACTAACTGCATGTTGTAGGTTTATTGATTTAAGTATTATATGTTTGTTATTAAATGAAAATATGTAAATAAATAAATCATCTTTAGTATTTATATTCTTTTATATTACAAAACAAAATGGTAAAATAAATTCTAATCAAGTCTCCCTTGTAAAAGTTGCTCAAGAAGTTGATTTTTTCTTTAATCACTCGATGATAGAAAAAAAAAAAGCCGTTCTTAATTATTGGAAACACGAAGAGAAGTTTCCACTTCTAAAAGAGTTAACTCTTAAATTATTAGCACCTCCAGCATCCTCTGTATTTTCGAAGCAATAATTTTCCAAATATGGAAATATTTACAAGAAAAAGCGATCAAGGCTGTTACCTCAACGTGGAGAAATGTTACTATTTATTCATCATAATGGAAATAAATTTATAAATGAGTGATAAACTGATGTATTAGTAGTGTTTAATTTTAATAGTATATGAATAATAAATTATTATTAATAATAATAATAATATTGAATAGAAACCATTAACAAAAGATTATTTAAAAATATAACATTCCTTGGTTTATTAAATCTTTAAATTTCTAAATAACATTAACTTGAAATATCCGGGTTATCCAAAACCGGATAATGTTATTATACGGCCAGATAATGAATATCGAATAATACTAATATCTGGCCCGAATATCCAGCCAGATAGCTTATCCAGGACACCCCTATTTAAAACCATTCTTTCTGTCTGTAGTATTTACATTTAAAACCATTTCTGTAGTAGTCCTCTTTGGATACTTGGGAGAGAAGTCCCTTGGGAAAATTAAATTTAAAAAAATAAAACTTTTAAACAAATATTATTTTTATATTAAGTTTTTTAATCAGCATAAATGTAATTTTGATGTTTTTTTATTGAATGCAAATCTATTTATTAAAGAACAATTTTCTATTTTTGCCTTTTTTTTTTTTTTCTATTAGAGAAGGAGAAGTGTTTAAAAAAGCTGGTGGTCACACTTTTTCAAAAAGTTTAATAGGAAGAATGAAATTAAATACTATTTGGAACAAAAGGTTTGTTCAAATTAAATAATATAAATGTTAAAATCAGATAATTTAAAAAAATATTATATTTTGACTAAAAATGATCTCTTAACTTTGAAATATAAAAATATTTTTCATTGATGTAAAATGGCATTTTTTTAAATAGTTCTGTAAAGAAAGAGCAATAAAATAAATTTATAAAAATAAAATAAATTTATAAATTAAATATTTAAAAAAATCTTTGTAATTTTTGTTAATTTTTTTATTTTTATTAAAAAATTTGTATTTAAAAGAAATTATCGAAAGCCTCTTGAAACTCAGTTGAATTAAATAATATAAATGTTAAAATCAGATAATTTAAAAAAATATTATATTTTGACTAAAAATGATCTCTTTAATTATACAAATGATCTCTTTCATTTTACTTATTTTAAGAAAATTAATTTTTATTGTTAAAAATATTTCTTAGAATTTTATTTATACCCTGCAATTTTATTATATGGATTTTTATATAGAATAACACCCTGTGTGTATGTGTATACACACACACACACACACACACACACACACTAATTTATTGAGCTAATTCATTTTTTAAAAGACGCGTAAGAAATTAAATTTTTAAATTTTTATAATAATAAAATTTTTAAAAATTAGTTTTGATAAAATAATTAAATTTTTTAGAATTTAGCAGCCTGGTTTTTTTCATTTGTGTTAAAACATTGCAATTATTTATTATTTTAAGTTTGTATTTCAGTATTTGTTTTATTTTTTGTCAGATGGTTTTTATATATTTCAAACAAATATTTTAACTTTTAAAATCTCTTTAAATTTTATAAAAATTTTAATGAAATATTTTTTTTAATGCTTATAGAAACCAGTACTTTTTATTACACTATTAAATTTGAGTTATGTTATATTTTTTTTACGCTAAAGCTTTTCGCTGTTTATAATGTTTTTTGCTGTTTCTTGTATCATTAATTGTTACAAAAGTTTGTAAAGATTTCATAATAATAATAAATAGCAGTCGTGGCGCAGTGGTAGCGCACTCGCCTCAGAAACGTAAGATCCGTGGTTCAAACCCCACCTCTGGGCAAGTTTTGCGACATCGGTTGGGAAGGAGGCGTGAACTTCCTATTAAATGCTCTTCCGCAGTGCTCTGTGATAAGACTGTAAGGACTTCTTGGGGCACCTTAATCAACTTAAAAAATAAAAATAAAAATAAAATAAAAAAAATTGCATGTTTATATAAAAGTAATTACATATAATATTTTTTGATAATTTAAATAAAATTGGATAATTTTAAACAATCATTAAAATTGATTTGTTACTTTATTTAATAAAGTAACAAGTAAACTCAATTTATGTATATTATGTATATTTATAATTTATAATAATTTAAAAAGTATCTCGCATAGTATACTCATTTTTAAAAAATCCAATATAAATATACTTTCCTTTTTTAAATTTTAGTTTTTTGAGCTTACATTTTTTCTTTTTTCTTTAGAATTTTTTTTAATAATATGTCTTTTAAATATATATACAGCTGCAAAAAATAAAATAGCACCACCACCAAAAATTGATTAAAATTAGAAATTTTAACTATTTTTGATGGTTTGAAAATCTTTTAAATACATATTTAAAAGTAAAATGGCTTATAATTTTTATAAAAAACAAAATATACAAGTTTTAATATATAGTATTCATTTATTAAACAAAAATTAAAAAAAAATCAAATAAAACGCAAAAAAAAAAATAGCACCGCAGCTTTAATGTGTACTTTAAAATAAGGAAATATTATGAGATCAATCGTTTTAAACATTTTACAATAAATATTAGTTATTTCTTAACATATTAGTATTTGGTAGCGTGACCTTTATTGGCAATAACGGCTATACAAAGTCTTAACATCGAGTTAACCAAGTCCTAACATCGCTTTACCAGAACTTTGCTCCATGTCTCCTTAACTACCTTCCAAAGTGACTCCTTCGTGGTGGGTTTGGCAGCAGCAACCACCTCCTTTACACCAGCCCTCAAATTCTCGATTGGTTTAAGATCTGGCAACTGTGCTGGCCACTCCGTTACGTTCATTTTATGCTCCTCAAACCAATTCTTTGCCTTCTTGCTAGTGTGCTTTGATTCATTGTCCTGTTGGAACACCCAGGACAACGGTATTTCATAGTCTGCATACGGCAACAGCACTTTATCCAATATATTAACATAAACGTGTTGGTCCATAATAGTAGTAATGTGATAAAAGGACCTTACTCCGTAATAAGAAAAGCATGCCCATATCATTATGCTACAACCTCCATGTTTAATAGTTTTGATGGTATATTTTGGATTGTATTCTCCATTGGTCTTCTGACATACGCCCGGAAGCCTTTTCCAGTATAAAGCACAATCTTACTTTCGTCTGTCCATAAAAAATTCCTCCATTTTTCAAGAGGCTAATTTGAGTGTTTTTTAGCAAACGCAATACGTTTTACAACATGTCTGGCACATAAAAGTGGAATTTTTTGGGGGGCTACAGGCTTTTAATCCATTAACTTGCAGACAACTCCGAACTGCATGTACTGTTGCATCGATGTTAAAGTCCTTTTTCAGCTCGGTAGCTGTTTTAAAAGCTTCGTTTTTAGCCTGTCGGACTAAGCGATTGGCCAGCAATGTTGAAATTGAACGTTTTTGACCACGCATTTCAGGCTTTTCTTGAAATTTTATGGCATTTCTTATCATTTTATTGAAATACTCAACTAAACAACCAACTTCTCTATAAGATTTCCTTGCTGATATCAAATTTTGGATCAGTTCTCTTTTTTGGTCACTGCAATGCTTTCCGCTTTTCCATTTTTATATGTAAATGTCTCCTACTAATACTCACTAACATAAAATGAATAAAACAGCAACAAAAAAAACAACGCTTGTTATTTCACAATTATTTTTACTGTTATCAGAGTATTTTAAAACAAAAGAGTGTGTGGTGCTATTATATTTTTCGGTAGGAATTGGCATTTTTGATTAAAATCGAGCAACACCAAGCATTTTTTTTCCAAAATGATTTGTTTTAGAAAATAAACATGTTAGCTAATATTTTAAACAGCAAAGCTATAAAAAAAATTTATTTTGCATGGTGTTTTCTTAACAAAAAGGCTATATAAATACCCTTAGTGGTGCTATTTTATTTTTCGCAACTATATATATATATATATATATATATATATATATATATATATATATATATATATATATATATATATATATATATATATATATATATATATATATATATATATGTATATATATATATATATATATACACAATACATGTTAGGTACATATACATATATATATATATATATATATATATATATATATATATATGTATATGTATATATGTATATATGTATATATGTGTGTATATATATATATATATATATATATATATATATATATATATATATATATATATATATATATATATATATATATATATATATATATATATATATATATATATATATATATATATATATATATTAGGGTGGGTCATAATTTTTTTTTTTCTTGTTACAGGCTCTAAACATTGCTAATAGTCATTAATATTGATACTATCAAATATGAGAATGATTGTGATAGATTTAAAGGGTGCAACTTTATTGGGAAAATTACCGGTACCCTAATTTTTTGGAGAAAAAAAGTTTTTCAAAAGTAGGTCAACATGGTACTCAAAAGAAGCGAAATTTTATAAAAAATTTGAAAATAATAATTGTTTTATAAAAAACATATTGCCGAAAAAAATTGTTATTAAAAAACATGTAAAAATGCACCTTTTTCACTTTTATTTAAAAAAACTATAGTGTATATAAACTATAAAAAGTATATAAACTATAAAAAAACTATATGCAATAAAATAATAATAATTTTTATATGAAAAAATTCTTTTTTTTGAAATTTTTATAAAATCTCGCTTTATTTGAGTACCTACATCACATAATTTTGAAATACTTTTTTTTTGAATCATAATAGGGCCTGCTAATTTTTGTAATTATAGTTGCAAGTGGAACACATTGTTAAATCCATAAAAGTAAATACTTTCCTAAATTAGTACATAAAAAAACAACTTTCTAGACTATAGTCAGGTTAGCTACTCTAAAATAAAATTTTATGACTCACCCTAATATATATATATATATATATATATATATATATATATATATATATATCATATATATATATATATATATATATATATATATATATATATATATATATATATATATATATATATATATATATATATACAGGGATGCCAAAAAAACCAAAAACCATAGGTTTTTAAAAAATAAACAAAAAAACCATGGTTTTTTTGGTTTAAATTAGGTTTTTACTAAAAAATGCGGTATTTAGTTATCCTTTTAAATTAAAAAAAGCATAACGTATTTTATTTGAGTAAACTATATTCTTTATCAATATTATTGTTATATTTCATCAAAATTATTTAACATATCATTGTTTAATGTTTTATATTTAAATACAAGCTTTGCTGCTTTTTCTACCCCTTAATCGGTTTCTTAACTTGAATGTACAAGACCAAAAGTTAAAAAAATTCTTTTAATTCCAGCACTAGAAGCTGGTGCATTTAATAAACCTTCAATTTCCATTATGTTATAGTAGATTTGGCTTTTAATTTGAGTAATATTGGTAACAAATCCTTGAACTTTTTATCTGCAAAATTCATAGCAGCTTCATTTTCATTTTCAGAAAGATTAGATCCAAAATATCTAGGATCTATTGTGTTTGCCAAGAAATGAGCATCACTGACAGTCTGAAGGTATCTAGATTCAATTTTTTTTTTTTCGTTCGATAAAAATGATAAACTGTTCATCAAATCTTTAAAAATTTCAAGAGTCATTTATTTTTGTTTGATCTCTTTGCAACTT